GTGACAGTGTTTGCCATGCCAAACACTGACCCCGCCGTGGTTGATGAGGCTTCGTTCCGTCTGGCCGCAGAACGTGCAGCAATGCGTGCCTACTGTGATTACGGTTTGTTCGTGGGTGCCACGGCGGATAATGCCTCCCAAGTAGCACAACTAAGTCGTCAAGCGGTCGGATTGAAAATGTATTTGAACGAGACGTTTACCACACTGTCTCTGGCCGGTCGAATGGACGTTTGGAAAAAACACTTCGAGGTTCGTGCTGATCACATAAACAGTATTTGCTTTAGTCACTCATCGTCCTGACACACGTAGCTTTGTCTATCCTTCTCTCGTTAGGCCACTAAACGAAGGTCATTCAACTCTTGACTTTATTTTGCACACGTGTCGGTTTAATCGTATCATTTCAGCGACCCTGTTTACGTGAGTCGAACCAAAATTTCACATGAGAAGGTGAACTTCGAGGTCCAACCGCAGTGCGCGTTAGTAAAGTGAATTAACTGTAAAATCACGTGTAAACGGCAGCTCTGTTTCATACGACAAGGGCCTATATCTGGGAATACGATAACGTATTGCTACACGCAGTCACGATTTTGTGGCTCATCGGTAGACATGTGATAGGGACTTTTTCTTGAGTTAACTTATGAGTAGCCGTATACAACTTCTGTGTAGAATACCAGAGCTAGGGTAATGCTTGGTGCTGTCGCTCCAGAACTATCCGCCAACAGTTCCTCAACTCGTCCCATCCCACAAAAACGTTTGTTCCTAAACGTAGGTATAAATTCAGAGTGCAATTCATTCACTGAGCTTTACTTATGCTGAATTAGGTTCTCCCAATTCATCATTTGATATGGTTTGCAAATTGCCCATGGTGAGTCTACTTCTATACGGTTGACACTAATTGCCACACACGAGTGGCGAAACCAATGTGTCGATATAAAAAGAGAAATCACGAGTGGTGCTTACCTTTATCTTATCAGTGACTGAGTGTTCTAAGTCGCTGTACCACTGTCCCACCCCATGGGATGGGATATGGTGATATGTTAGTTGATGTTTTCCGAAGTATAAATGGTAGGTGTTTTTGTCAGAGCAGGATCCAATGGAGCGTTGTGCGGTTCATTACTCCATGCCCCTTGGATAACCCACCGATATTCTTCTCACAAACTCTTTTATGTCTGTACGCTGTTATCCATCCCCTTCCCCCAAACGTTCCGTTTACACATATTCACACGACCAAAACCGTAACATTGAGGCAAGTACATGGATTTGGCCAGGTTTCCTAGTTCTTTTGAATTTAATCCATCTCCCCTACCCCAAGGGCCAAACCATTTGCCCTGTCCGATGTGCTTCGTTTATCAAGTCGGTTGCGCACCAAGCTGGTGCCTCTTAGTTTTCCATGCCGCAACTTTGTTGAAGTTTTAGTTTTCCTCACTTAAGCACTAATTTTATCTTGTTTATCGTTATGATGATGATCCTTTTATCCTCTCTGTTTTACATGTGAACGTTGAGAGACGAATGAGATAAACCACCAACCGCCAGGTCGTAATCTTTGGAGACTTTTCCACCCCTTACGACCGCCAATGAACAAAACGACACCTCATGGACACGAAGCGAATTTAGTGGTTAGGGTCGATAACCATATCGCTTTGACACCCATTGATTGACTTGTAGAAAACGTTCACAAAGCCCAGCCAAACAGAACACTGGTCGGTTATCTATATGTACTAGCGAGAGACAGTGAATCAGCAAATAGTATACACCTGAAGCTATGGCCCAACCCAATTTCCGAAATACAGTCGATGTAGCAGTTAAATACACCGCGTCGGGAAACGGGGTCCCGCAAGGTGACGACACCGAGAAGTACGAGTATGATACACGGTCAAGGCAATTCAGGGAGGAACATCTGGCACGCGACTGTTATTGGTTCCTCACAGATTGCTCTTGAGTTTGAGCTTAGTTCCTCGAGTGATTAAGAAGGCTGCCGCATATTTCCCAGCTTGGCCAGATAGGCAGAGACAGGCATGAAAATGTGTGACGCGTTTAGGAGCATGATCTGACAGAAATGGCGTCAAGAGTATATGAGAGGGAAAAAGATGTGTCACATGATCCAAGGGTAGGTCAAAAGGTCACTAGACATTGAAGTGGTAAGGGACATGAGTGATACACAAGGGATAGGGACTGATTACGCAGAAATCCGGTATAATTTCCCAATTGTGATGCTCTGATCCTCTATCTTATTATAACTCCCAAATCAACCTCTTGCTCGTTACATCATCGTGGTTCCTCTCGGCCAATCGAACCAACAACTCATCTTAGCTTTCAACTTTTTCATCGCTTCTATGTCCAATGATCACCAAATTCATGCTATGCGGTCATTGGACGGGAGTTTCCAAGTGGTGTAGAATCGATCCTGTTTTCGAAAAAGTACTTCACTCGTTATGGGCGAAATAAAAATATTCCTCTTAACAAAGTTCGGGCCTCCACGTGGTGCAGTCGCAATTGCGTTGAAAATAGTGGGGAAACGAAGTGTTACACGTGTTTTTCCCCAACCTCACTATCCATCTTAGATTTCCTACTCATCCGGTGTTAATATAGGTTTAATGCGTGTAATCTGTTTGGATATCTTTCAACGAACAGTGATTTAAGACATTGGCTTTTGTTTAACACTCACGTTTTACTTCAGTGATTGGCTTTTGTTACCACGATATAATTACATGAATGTGTATTTCGTATGTTGTACATCTCATTCTCGTTCGAACAAATAATTGAATTTTACTGGAATCCCAATCATCGTTGTGTTATGCATCTGCTCTCCTATATTAGAGCTGGCCAGCGAATCGCCCTATCTGTTGTCATGCTGAGGGCGAAACGATGGCCGCGGTGCTTCTCTTGGCTGAACTAACAGATCGAGCTGTGCATATATGCCACGTGTCTCGCAAAATCGAGATCGAATTAATTCGCGACGCCAAAGCACGCGGACTGAAAGTGACCTGTGAAGTTTGTCCACATCACCTGTTTCTAACCGCGGACGACATGCCTAAGGAAGGTGGATGGGGTGAGTCATGTTGCGATCGCTGTAATCATTTCGTCACTATATCCAAACAGTTTGGTTTTATTCTGGACGAGTTTTGTGGGGATACCAATGAAGAAATCCTCATATGACTACGCATTCGTAACTACGCATGTAATTTCATTGTTATTGCTAACGCAATCTCCTCAGTACGACTCGGTCTGTGACCTGGTAGACTTACACAATTTCAATCGGTTCCGAACGTATTTGGTTCTCACCAACCCCTCTGTAAGAATACGTTCACTCTGAATTTCGTGTTGAGTGTGAGTCGTTCGCATCAGTTTGCCACACGTCAACTGGTGTATCTCATGGCCCCCCCCCCGGTGAACAATTTGTTTGAGGGTTCAGGCCTTTGTGCATTATTTCTTATTGTTTCTCGATCCACTCTTTGACTCATAATTCTTTACTTTGTTCTCTACTCTACCAATAAATAATCCTACCCTTGTTTAAATTGATATGGTCGGTTATCTAGCCGAAGTGCGACCACGTCTTGGTACTCGAGAAGATATTGAAGCATTATGGGCTAATCTGAGCACCATTGACTGTTTCGCTACCGATCACGCCCCGCATCTGGTCTCCGAAAAGGCTCGGGATCTCAAAGCACCTCCGGGATTTCCGGGTTTGGAAACAATGCTCCCATTATTGTTGACAGCCATGTGCGAGGGCCGTTTGACTCTAACCGATCTGGTTGAACGGCTGCACGTGAATCCGCTTCGCATATTCGGCTTGGCTGTGCACGGAGATGCGAATGAGGCACTGGATCGATGTGCGTATGAGGACACATGGGTCGAAGTAGACCTCAGTTCTGAGTGGTACCTGCCGGGTGCTTACACGTATCAAACGCCCGTGACAAAAATGTCCACTTCTGGCTCAGCTCCTACGCTCTTCACACGTGCCGGTTGGAGCCCATTTGCTGGCCGACGCGTACGTGGTCGTGTTCGACGTGTAATGCTGCGAGGAGAACTGTCTTTCGTAGATAATCGAGGTGAGTGCGTTGTAACTTGGTGGTTGTTTTTCTCTGTTGTGCTTATTCGCATTATGTTACCGGAATATGCACTGCTCTAGTGACAGCGATATGGACTCTAAATCTCCCTCATGTCACTACTCTTGCCTTGGTGTTAAGTTGAATATCTTCAGTTAGGTATGATCAAATTTTACTGTCCATTTCTCGTGAGCAATTCAGACCAACTCCAGTGTTCCGCGCTCCTTTCTCCCTCGGAAATAAAAATTTGTTGCTGTTTAGAAATGTGAATTCATGCATCTAATGCTACAATAATCCTAAATATATCTGACTTATGGCATCATACACAGAGCTGTTTCTCAGTAGAGAATAATCGTTCCATTGAAAACGACCCACAATGGCATTCTACTAAGTAAATCACTCACATTCTTTTGTATAGAACGGATCATAACAGGTTTCATCTTAGTACTCTGAGGCTCCTACGAAACATCGAGAGTATATTACCAAAGGATGCCTACCCATTATCATCTGTTTCTGTTCACTTAGCAATCACAAACCGAACAACGAGGAAAATATCATTAAATTTAACCCAAACACCATGCCTCATACAGCCAGTTCAGTTCAGTTCTTACAACCATTAACCATACACTTTCGTGCGCCGGTTTGCGTTGCCTATTTGGATAAAACAGTAGAATGTTGAGGGCAGATTCAAGCGTAAGGTAGCACATTTTCATGGACTGAAGTTACAAGAATAATGGGTAGATGCATGAGCGCCACTGTTTGCGACACCTAGCCATATCGTTCAGTGTCTCTAACCATCGGTGACCATGATCTCTGGGTCCCCAGCCAGGGAGCCTAACGGGACCAGCTAGTTCATTGGTTTTAGTCACTATTTTAAATGAGCTGAACATTGTATTTGGTGATTTTGTGCTCACTGGAACCGTACACATAATATGGGTACAGTTTTAGTGGGTGGTTTTTTCTACTCATTGAAGTTGATGCGTAATTCGGTTGATTATTCTCTGCTATTGGATCATCGACGACGATGACTTATCTGAGGAGTCAGGATGCAAATAACGCTATTTTGGTAGGCCTTGGCCGGTAGATACTGATTTGCGAAAAATCTGATTCATTCTAATCGGTTTCCGATATGGGAGTTCAAATATCAACTAGAATTCAAGGATAAAGTTTATCACAGATACACTGAGAGAGCTGACATTCATCAGGGATCGGAAATACTTTACGCTCTGTGATGTCATGGTGAACATCGGAGTATCTTCAGTAGTGGCTTGTACTCATTCGGTGTAGTCCTCAGTTCTCTACTAAACGTTCCTGACCACTATGTCCTCATTGCAGGTTACTATCCACTGATGTTGCGTGGCTTTTGTAATATGGATTCTATCTCAATATCACGGGATGCCCAATTTATTTTGTTTGCACCGAAAACGGGTTTGTCTCCTTCAGTTAAAAGGGAAAATCTGGAATGAAATTATTACGTCGTTTTATTTAGATTCGCATGTAGAAGTCCACAAATGTACGGTTGGATTTACCCATTCGATTTCCATACGCACCGGGAACTGCTTATTATTGTCTTGTTTTTTCTGAAGGTAAACGAACACTCAGAAGTAATACTCACTCCCCTAAAAACACCAAAGGTAACCACTTCTGAAGAGTCCCGATACGGATGAATCACCTGTACAGTTATTTTTGTCAGCCTTCACATAAGTGGAGTTGTCGAAAGTTTTCTGTTAGTGGTTTCTTCTTTATGATAACCTTTTTAAACCTCCCTTCAGAGTAAAAATAAATTCGACAAATATAGTCAATACTTATTTGCTAATACAATAGCAATTCTCCCTTGACTGTATTAGGAATGCTATAGTATCGCTTCGGAGAATTTCGTCATGAATCAACGGCTTTCAGAAAAGTAGACTTATTAATCTCATTGTTTTCTCCCGCTTATGACCACAGTTTTGGTAAAACCTGGATATGGGATAAATTTGATGAGTAGTGTGATCGCCGATCCGAAATCCGTTTCGGAAACCCCGACGGTTGAGATCATCGAGCGACCAGTTCAGCTTATTCACGCTCCATCGTCTCCTTCTCCTCGGGTGCGCTTGGACTCGTGTAGCGAGCGGATCTGGGTGAGTTTCAATGGAGTTTCGATTTTGACGGGAATTCAGCGCATGCTAACCGCTCTTTGATACTTGTTTGGTTATTCAAAGCAACACGACTGTGTGAATAAGCTCTGTTTTAATGTTTATGTATTCTCTAACTGTATTTCATACACGTCTGAATCCAGACTGTGTGCTGAACTAAGGGTACAATAATCTTTATAAAAAGGAGCAAGTTTCACGGTTTGTTTGTTGGCGGAATACTACCAGATTGCACAGACCAAAGAAGGCGAGTCTTCAGGAATTTACAACCGGATCTTTTGACTAGCCAAAGTCTGATCCGCAAGACAGCAGGGTGGTTTGTGAAAACCGCAATCCATTGGTGGCCGGTTTCCAGTTCATTGGATTATATGTTTTTCGGACGGGGTCAAACGTCCAAGGCTCCCAATGTACCTCGATGCCCAATCGAGCCGGTGACCACAAGCAGAAAGACGTGGGTGGGTGTGGTTCTTACGCTTCTCCTTGGTTTGTTTGGAATCAGGGTTTTTGGCCAACCCCCTGAGTGAGCTATCAGAGGTTCACCGACCCAGTTACAGACCTTGACATTGGCTTTTTCGGCATCTCACTTTGATGAAAGATCACCGCCACGAAAAACAGTGAGTAGGGTTTTCTCAGCAGATTCTATTTGGGACGCTTGGTCGTATAAAAGTATTCTTCCAGGTGTAAAGGACTGGTAACCGGATACAATCCATAACGCCAACCCCCAACCGCTCTAAGGATTTTGAAGGTTATTCTCTAAACAGTCTGTTTTTTTTATCCTAACGCAAATCGCATTGAACTCGTGTCAACAGGCAAGTCCGAATTAAATGGTTGAATTATGAGTTATACAGAGGTAAAGTTAAACCCCATATTCATATAGATTTGCTGTATTCTCACGGAAACTTTGACCCCGCGAACCAGAGCAGCGGGCCACAGATAAAGTGTATTTAACACTCGCCAAAGCAGCCAGCACCCGTACAGGGAACCTAATTGTCTTATGCTTTCATTTGATCCTAGCTGCAATCTAAACAGTGGGGAAAGTTGTCTTACTTTGCCACTCAATTCAACCTCATGATTTTTCTGTTTTATCTTCCCAAATATATGCGTAGTTCAAAGGGGAAATTCGTCGTGTATATGTCAACTGAAGTGTGAACTGAAGGGCTAAGAAGTACTGGATAGCTGTTTCGACCTGGTTTGGTCTCATCAGCAGTGCGAACGGTCTGATCAGCTGGCCGGTGGCGTAATGGCATGCTTGCGTTCTGCCCATGAGGTCCCGGGTTCGATACCCAGTTGGGTAGATGGATTCACACTGCTGATGAGACTCAACCAAACCGAAACAGCGGTCCAGTACTTCCTAGCTTTTCAGTTCACGCTTCATTTGACATATACACGACGAGTTTCCCCTTTGGAAATTGAACCAAATCCTCCGTTAGTCACATGAAATATGCATATTTCTTGAAAAGTGCATTTCAAGGATGTCTTTCGTTTTGGTCGAACCAACGGATCTATCGGTGATAAATATTAAGAAGTAGCACACACACGCGAACGGCGAGATGATTCAGCGAGAATGCTTGTCTGTCTGTTAATGCTCTGCAGTTGTCTATTTCGGCGGTGGATGCTTTTTCACCAACAACGTAGGTTTAAGTGTGTGTTTGTTTGTGTGACATAATTGACCGGTGAAAATGAGAATCGTTGCTCGTTTAGTACGATTGATTTTGAACGTAGACTGTTCGATGATAGATTTGTTGTATTTCCCTATTATATTTTGAGACAATACAGCGAAAAATTTCCGCATATATATATATATATATATATATATATATATATAAACATTCGTTGTCTCAGTGTAGATACGTCATCAGATATAATCTGTACGCTCACGAATAAAGCCCAAAGGAATGTTTTTAACATACTGTGGTAAGGATACAACTAAATATTATCATTGAACAGTCGAGTATAAACTGCTGTTCTGAAAACGATTGATCTAATTTGTTAGTATGGCTGATGTTCAACGAGTTTTCCCATTTTTGATTTCCATGAACGCCCAGAATACGGTACGAGTATTTGATTGTTGAGCCCTGATGAGGTCTTACAACGAAATCTTCCGATCAGTCTTTGCTATCTCTTGAGTTCGCAGTAGCAATGATACTCGTTATTTGAGTGAAATACACTCTCTCGGATGCATCGTATCCTACGGCATGAATTTGTAACCGCTTGAAATAGTCTATTGTTTTTTCAGTGCTTTCTGCCGTGTGTCGTGTTTCGGTTTACCAAGTCATATGTATACCAGTTTTGTATACCTTTTCCAATTTCAGGAGGAAATAGTGCAACATACCTCTATTCCTTCTCAACTGATCGGCACGACGGGCCCATTGGCTTCAAGTGGGGTGGCACCTTTAACAATCAGCACGTCCGCTACGCCGGTCAGTGGTCCTGGACTTTGGCTTGACGGGATCTCCGGAAAGCACGTGCTCTCGTCGGCCACATTTATCAAAGTTTCATTGCATCGACTCTTCAATTTGGCACACAGTTTCAGACAGGCCGTGCTCAAAAATCGACCTCTGGACTCCATATGTCGTGGCAAGGCAGGTTGCAATTTCTGCTTCTTTTCGATCACGAAATCATTCTTAACTTACTAGAAATGTCAAAGGTAATTCAAAAGGAGTTGTACTTCAAGAGAAAATGTAAGCCTAAACTGTGATGTAAACTTTTGGATCCAAACTAGGGCTCGTTGTTAGGCGTATATTAAATGTATGTTAAAACGGGAGGACTGTCCGTATGCCGGTATGCTGTTTGTGTGTCTCCGTATCCGCCAATTACATCGAATCTTGTGACGTAAAGTAATGCCTGTCTACCTTGACTTGTCTATTGAACGA